CGGGGAGGAGACCCACAACCCGGGGCACGCGAAGCAGAGAAACAGGCCCGGGCGCGAGCAGGACGAACAAGACAGCAAGAAGGAGGCAGAGGAGAGGAGACGGGGCAGGGGGGGGGGGAGAAAGGAGGAGAGGGAAAAGGAGCAGGAGGAGGAGGGGCAGGAGGAGGAGGTGCGGGAGGTGGAGGAGGAGGGGGAGGAGGAGGGGGGGAGAAGGAGAAGGAGAAGGAGGAGGCGCAGAAAGAGGAGGAGGAGGAGGAGCGCACCGGCCCCAACTCGTTCTCGGCGAACTTCTTGAGCTCGTCGAGGCTGCGGCCGCCCTTGTAGTCCTCGCCCTCCTCGTCGGGAGGGTTGAAGTACTTGATGGTCGGGTACCCGCGCACGCCGTACTTCTCGCACAACGGCTTGCCGCCCGTGGTGCAGTCAACGTCAGCGATGAGGACCTTCTTCGAGTCCTCGAAAGTGGAGGCCAATGAATCCCAATCGGGCTTCATCTTTTTGCAATGGCCTCACCAAGGCGCGAGGAACTTGATGAAGGCCGCCTTGCCCGACTTGAGGACCAGCTCGTCGAAGTTGTCAGGGGTCAGCTCGATTGCGCCGGCAGACGCGCCAGCGGCAGCGCAGAGCAGCGTGAGGGAGCGGAGCGCCATGGTGCTGCGCGCGGAGAGGGAGGGCCGGGGCGCGGTGAGCAGGCGCGGCGCGCTGCGGTGGGCGGGCGGGGTGGATGGGGAGCGGTGGCGTGTGGGAGGTGGCAAGGCGGACACCCAGCAGGGCTTGATTCAGTGTGCCACCTCAGCGCTTGTCGAAAATTCTTTTTCTGAAAATTCTCTACCGTCGGGTCTCTGTTTTAAGAGCAGGTAAACAGCAATAGATCCGGGTGTAGTGCCGGATCAGTTCCTGGAGCCAGGGGGACCGATTCGCGCTTGCCAAGGGACCAATTGCTGGAAGCCTGCGCAGCCTGCGCTCCGGCCGGCAGAGGGCTTGCGACCCGTGGCAGGGTGACAGCCCGCCGGTGGGCGAGCCAAACTCTGGCGGAGGCAGCCCGCTCAGCCCCAGGCGCCCCTCGAACCGGAGGGTGGTCTGCCGCCGCTGCGCGGTCGGCGCGCCGAGCGCGGAAGGTTCGAGGTCGACTACTCGCCGCCTGGGTCGTTTGGGGCGCGCGGCTCCGTCGAGGACCGGGCGCGCCCCTTTCCCGGCGCGGCGTAGGTCCCACTCTGACGTATAGAGGGGAGGCACGGACAACGGCCCAATTCATCAATTCCACTCATCTTCTGGTGCCTAGCCCCGTGCAGCGGCGGTCCGGCAGGCTGCCCCCAAGGCCCCCTGGGCCGCTGCGGGTTTTGGAGTTATGCTTTGGCACAGCTTCGGCGATGGCGGCCCCTCTCTGGGGCTTGCATAGGCGGGGAGTCTCCCTCGCTGGTCTCCTCATTCCCTTTTTTCTTTTTCTTTTGAGCTGGGTGTGCCGCCGCGCGGCGCTCGCGCGGCGGCGGTGTGTGTGTGTGTGTGTGT